TTTTTGGATATAAAATATCTCGTAACCAACCTAATTTGCATTTCCTTTACTACTATTTTAAATGGAAAAATCTTTCAATTAAAATCAAGAATTATACAGGAATCTCCACTATAACTATTATTATTAAACACTTTTCTTGAATGTTATAGCATAGTGCTGTCCAAGAGAAATTTTTGCAATGAAAGAAATGGTCTATATTCTGTGCTACCCAATATGATGCATGTGACTACTGAGCACTTGAAATGTGACTAGTGCAACAGAAGAACTGAAATTTTAATTTTCTTTCATTTTAATTAATTGCACAGAAAGTACAGAGAGTTCTCATAACCCTCCAACACACATAATTTTCCTTATTATTAAAGTCTTCCATTAGTGTGGTATATTTGTTACAGCTGATGAACCAAAGAGCTAACCAAAAGGTCAGCAGTTCGAATCCACCAGCTGGTCCTTGGAAACCCTGTGGGGCAGTTCTACTCTGTCCTATAGGGTTGCTATTAGTCAGAATCCACTCGACAATAACCTTTGTTTTTTTTTTTTTAAGTCCATAGTTTACATTAGGGTTCATTCTTGGTGTTGTACAGTTCTGTGGATTTTGACAAGTGCATAATGTCATGTATCCACTACTACAGTATTGTGCAGAATAGTTTCACTGCCCTTAAAAGGTCCTGTGCTTCATCTATTCATGCCTCCTCACTTCTCCCTGAACTCCTAGCAACCACTGATCTTTTTACTGTATCTATAGCTTTGACTGTTTCAGAAGGTCATACAGTCGGAATAATAAAGTACGTAGCTTTTTCACTTAGCAATATGCATTTAAGGTTCTTCCATGTCTTTTCGTAGCTTGATAGCACTTTTTTGTAATCACTAAATAATACTCCATTTATGGACGTACACTAGTTTATTTATCCATTCATCTATTGAAAAGCATCTTGGTTGTTCCCAGTTTTTGACTATTGTAAATAAAGCTGCATAAACATTCAAGGGCAGATTTTTGTGTTTTCAATTTATCTGGGCAAATACCTAGGAGCATGATTGCTGGATTGTATGACAAGCCTATGTTTAGCTTTGTACAGACCGTCCAGACAGTCTTCCAAGGTGGCTGTACCATTTTGCATTCCCACCAGCAATGGTTGAGAGTTCCTGTTGCTCCACATCCTCATCAGCATTTGGTATTGTCCGTGTTTTGGATTTCAGTTATTTTAACAGGTGTGTAGTGATATCTTTTGTTTTTAAATTTGCAGTTTCCTAATGACATACGATGTTGAGCATGTTTTGATAAATTTACTTTCCATCTCTATATCTTCTGTGGTGAGTTGTGTATTCAGATCTGTTGCCCATTTCTAAAGTGAGTTGTTTCTTTTCTTATTGTTGAGTTTTTGGTGTTCTTTGTATGTCTTGGATATAAGTCCTTTATCAGATATATGTTTTGCAAATATTTTATCCCAGCCTATGGCTTGTCTTTTCCTTCTCTTAACAGTGTCTTTCACAGAGTATAATGTTGGGTTTTTTTTTTTTTAATTTCAATGAAGTCAACTTTATCAGCTTTTCTTTTATGCATTACGCTTTTGGTATTATATCTAAAAAGCAATCACCAAACCCAAGGTCACCTAGAATTTCTCCTATGTTATCTTCTAAAAGTTGCATAATTTGGGGATTAACATTTATGTCTGTGATTCATTGAATTATTTTGTAATACGTGTAAGCAGTACGTCTAGATTCATTTTTTTGCAGATAGATGTCCAAGTGTTCCACCACCATTTATTGAAATGACTATCCTTTCTCATTGAATGTCTTTGCTTCCTTGTGAAAATAAGTTCACTCTATTTGTGCAGATCTATTTCTGGACTCTTTATTCTGTTTGGAAACCCTAGTGGCATAGTGGTTAAGAGCTACGGCTGCTAACCAAAAGCTTGGCAGTTCAAATTCAGTAGGTGCTCCTTGGAAACCCTATAAGGCAGTTCTACTCTGTCCTATAGGTTCGCTATGAGTAGGAATCGATTCAACGGCATAGGTTTGGTTTGGTTTTGGTTTATTCTGTTCAGTTGATCTATTTTTCTGTTCTTAGGTTAAAACTACACCCTTCATCACTGTAGTTGTATACTTAGTCTTCATAGCTATATGAAGTCAGGTAGTGTCAATTCTCTGACTTTGTTATTCTTCAGGATGTTGTTATTGTTCGTTGTCATCAAGTCGATTCTGATTCCTGTTTGCAGTGTAGAACTGCTCCAGAGGGTTTTTAAGGCTGTGACCTTTTAGAAGCCGATTGACAGGTCTCTCTTCCAAGGTGCCACTGAGTGGGTTTGAACCACCAACCCTTCTGTTAGTAGCCAAGCACTTAACCATTTGCACCACCCAGGAACCTTTCCATATAAACTTAAGGATCAGCTTGTCAACATCTAAAATATACCTTGCTGGGATTTTAGTTTTGATTTCATGGAATCTATAGATCAAGTTGAGAAGAATTGACATCTTGATAATAAAAGTCCCCCATCCATGAACATGAATTATCTTTCCATTTATTTTTATCTTTGGTTAATTTCATCAAAGTTTTGTAGTTTTCCTCATGTACATCATGTACATATTTTATTAGATTTGTTCCTAAGTATTTCATTTTTTTGGTGCTAATGTAAATGGTGATTTTTTTTAAATTCAAAATTAAATTGTTCATTGTTGGCATATAGGAAAGCAATTGAATTTTGTATATTAAACTTGTATCTTTCAACTTTGCTATTATTGCTTATTAGATCCAGGAATGTTTTGGCAATATTTTGGGAGTTTCTACATAGACAATAATACCATCTACAAACAAAACCAGTTTTATCTCTTCCTTCCCAATTTGTATACCTTTACTTCTTTTTCCTGTCTTATTTGATCAGCTAGGATTTACAGCACAATGTTGAATAGGAGTGATGAAAAAGAACATCCTTGTCTTCTTCCCAAACTTAGAGGGAAAGCATCCAGTTTTTCACCATTAAGTATGATGGTTTGTTTTTTGTACAGGTTCTTCATCCAGTTGAGGAAGTTCCTCTCTATTCATATTAGATGGGAGTTTTCTTTTTTATCATGAGTGGATGTAGAATTTTATCAAATACTTTTCCTGCAACTTATATAATCACATGCTTTTTCTTCTTTAGCATAGTAATATGATGAATTACATCAATTGATTTCCAAATGTTGAACCAGCAAATGCCACTTGGCTGTGGTGCATAATTCTTTCTACACCTTATTGCATTTTATCTGCTAATATTTTGTTGAGGATTTTTGCATCTATGTTCATGAAAGATACTGATTTGTAATTTTCCTTTCTTTAATGTCTTTGTTTGGTTTTGGTATTAGGGTAAAGGTGGCCTCATGGAATGAATTAGGAAGTGTTCCCTCTGCTTCTATTTTACGGAAGAGATTGTAGAGAGTTGGTATTATTTTTTCTCTAAATGTTTGGTAGACTTTAACAGTGAAATCATCTGGACTTGCTGCTTTCTTTTTGCAAGGTTATAAATTGTTGATTCAATTTCTTTAACAGATATAAACCAAAAAATATCAAACTTATTGCCTTTGAGTCAATTCTATTCCAAAGTAGAACTACCCCATAGGGTTTCCAAGGCTGTAAGTATTTACAGAAGCAGATTGCCACATCTTTCTCCCTTGTAGTGGCTGGTGGGCTCAAACCATGAACCTTTCGGTGAGCAGCCGAGCCCTTTAACCACTGCATCACCAGAGCTCCTTTTAATAGATACAGGCCTATTCAAATAATCTATTTCTCTTTCTGTCAGTTTTGGTGGATTGTATCTTCCAAGGATTTAGTCCATTTCAACCAGGTTATCAAATTTGTGACCATAGAGCTGTTCATAATATTGTTTTATTATCTTTTTAATGCTATGGGCTCAGCTGTGATGGGTTTTTTTTATTTTTGATATTAGAAATCTGTGTCTTCTCTCTTCTTTTCTTGGTTTGAAACAATCTAACCAACTTTTTTTTTATTGATCTTTTCATATGCAAGAATAGCTCTAAACATATATATTAAAAAAAAAAAAAAGTGAGGAAGGACTTACCTTATAAGTTACAAGAATCTTCTCAAAAGTCGTTGTAAGAAAATTAAGGTAGTATTCACTATTCACATAAGAATAGACAAACGGATCCTTGGAAATTAACAGAAAATCCAGAATTTGATCCTGGCATACGTGCAGTTAATATTTGACAAAGATAGTGTTTTAGTCAGTGTGCAAAAAATGGACCGTTTAATAAATGATGCTGGCAAAACTGGATATACACATGGAATTGAATTTAAAAATGAACTTTTGTCCAAAGACCACAGGCAAAAAATAAATTTCAACTAGATAAAAAGCTTAAATAAAACAAAGAAATCTTACAAAAAAATAAGAAGAAGAAGACTATTCATACAATTCAGGGGTCAGTGTGGCCTTTCTAAATAAGAATGGAAACTCAGAATCTAAAAAAGTAAAGAGAGTTTTCTCTGTCTGAATGCAAATAAACAAAGACAACATGCAAATAATATATCTGGAAAAATATTTGTAATAAGGTTAATTTGTGTACTATGTACCGAAACTCATGCAAATTAATTAGAAAAAAAATCAAATAAGCCAAAAAAAAGAGAAGAAAGAATGCATGAATGAATGAAAGAGAAAGAATGAAAGAAGCAAGGGATGTTGAACAGCAAAATCACAGAAGAACTAATCCAGAAAATAAATAAAATTAGAGAAGATGCACAAGCCGCTTCTTTTATTATGTCAATGGAACTCCTTTTTTCCCCCCAAACATCTTATGCAGAACCTCACATACAAAAACGACTACCGTGAGGCATCTACTGGAGAAGTTCTCCTCTCTGTTCTGTCTTCCCTTCATTTCTGGTGTCAATCTATAGTTTCTCCGAGCACAGGAGGAAAACCACCACCACCACAGCAGCAAAATACTGAGGAAAATACGATGGGTTTTACTCCACGTAACAGAAAAACTCTGTCAACAAAAAAGCAAAGCAAAGGCAAGACACTTACCACAACCATGCCCATTGAAGAAGACACTCATGTCCCACCTGGGCGTTCCTAATCCCGCAGGCCAGTTGAGGAGGGCTATGCCTAGGGCCAGATGTGGGGCTGTGTGGGGAGCAAACAGGAAAGCAGCCTATTATTTTTAATCATCTGACTCCAGTGACCTGAGCAAGATTTATCCCAAATCTACCATTTACCCAGTAGTTATAGAGTCTTAGAAATTTGGGCCTCAAAGAGGCTTCAGGATCTACCTTCCTCAGTCCATGCTTGAGTCACCTCCCTCAGCAACCCTGACAGGAGATTGTCCAACCTCCAGTTGAGCACCTCTAATAGCAGGCATCTAACTCTACCCAAAGAAGCTAGCTTCTTCCACCAAAGCTCTGTGTTAAAGTCTGTCTCACTCTGAACCCTCAATTACTTCTAAGTTCTGTAAAATGAGAATGGTCGGCTCTGTTGGTCTCTGAGCAAGTCTGACTAGTGGGATAAGTCTGCCTTTGGCCTTCATCTTGGACGGGGGCAGCGTGCTGAGACCCCAGCTGCTTTTCAGGGGTGGCCGTCTCTGCGTCCTGTTCACTCTGAGCAGTGCCTCCTGAACTTATCTGTTCACCACACTCACCTGAGGCAGATTAGAAAAATCAACCTCTCAGCCTCAGCCTAGATTTACTTCATCAGATCCCCAGGCTACTGCCCAGGCATCAATACTTTAAAATGCTCCCCAGATGTTTCTGATCTTCACCTGGTTTTAGGAAGTCTTGGCTTGGAAGCTCAAACCCACGCATCAAACACACATTAGCTGGGATTGAAAACCCCATCCTACCCTCAACATGAACAGCTGAGGTCTCTCAGGGTTCTTTCTGGTTTATAATATTATTTCTCCACAATTGAATTTGAGTCTCACAGCAGCTCAGATGATGCACTTTCCCTATGAAGACAATGAGTCACTGAGTTGAAATGGGTGTGAGAGTTTCAGGCACCGTGTGTGTAGAAAAACAACTTTCTTTCTTTGTGTATAAATCAATCCCCACCTTGAGCCCAACTGAGACAATGGTCAATTTAGCTTTAAACTCAGGCCATTCAGGATTTCTCCTCTCTCCCTTTCTCTGGGCATCAAGGTGGAGGCAGGCAGGCAGGGCAGTTTGGGACATCGGTCAGCCTCTGTCCATGCACATCTGTTGAGTCGTGCAGGGTTTTGTGCTGTCCTTTGCTGTTATCCCAATCCACAGATCCATCAGGAGAGATATCCACATTATCCATCTGATCCCCAACCTTGTGTCCACAGTGCTGCATTATTTTGTAGCATCTGCTCATTTACCAGCATCATGAGACCCCAACAGATAGGCCAGCTCACTCCTATCTATCATCTGAGCCATTCATAGAGCTCTGGAATAGTGGTTGCTCCCCACATATTTAGGAAATGACAGGAAGTTTGGTGGCTGCACGTTTGCTGGAATAGCTTTGCTACTGGGTGCATTTCACTGTGGTCACCCCATGCCAAGGTGCGGGGCAATTCCGGTCCTTCCACTTTACAGTTCCTGCTTGGGAAACAAGCCTAGGACCTCTCTGCTCTCAGATCCTCAAATCTCCCTCGAGGCTCTGTCATGAGCTCCCTGAGACTAGACCCAGGAGAAGGGGCTGCCTGCCCTCTCCCTGCCATGCCATCCAGTCTCTCATGGCCCCTCAGTCCAGTGAGAGAGTTTACCTTCCTTTCTTTGGAGCGAGAATTGGCAATTGCCCAGCAACATTCTTCTATACTCGTTTTTAGGCCAAGATGTTGAGACTTGGAAGCTCAAATGATGTGAAATAACTGCCTACAATTTCCTGTGAACTTCTGTTCTAGTTGTGTTCAGAGGATTTGGGGAGATGGTGAAGGGCTTGTGAGGAATGGAAGAGATTGCTGGGACCAATGATTAAAAACAAAAATCAGTTAATACTTGGCAATATCATCCCACCACCATGAAACTGAATCAGTTTCTAAGGTCTCAGGGTGAGCAAGTAAACAGCAAAATTTGCATCAGAACTTGGGACTTCTGACAAGGAGCTAAGAATCTGTGCGCTGGGTCCCTTCTTCCGCAACATACACATCAGTCTCCACCTTCTCACTCCAGAGCTCCTCCAGGGAAGGAACTGCTGATTCCCTTTGTGCCTTCAAAACACCAACAATAGCAATGGGTCTTCTCTTTCCCCAAGCAGACATTCTGGAAGATCCCACAGTAGCGAAGTATCCCTCAAGCAAGGATATCACTCTCTGTGGGAGCTCAAGCACACTGCAACAGGACGAGGACCCAGGTGGGGGGCCAGGGACTTCGGGTAGTCATGCTGTTACAGCTTCACCGTGCTGCAAGTCAGTCTTTCCCTCAGAGACCACCCTCCTCCCTGCATCCATGGAGACTGACAGGCCTCACAGTACTGCTTGTTGGGCCAAGGGATAGTGAGTGACAGCCCTGCTCTGACAGAAGATTAATTCAGCATCGAGGTGGTGCTCACTCCTGACTCGGCCACACACCGCTCTCCGGCACCACCATCAACTGACAGCACTCGTTGTTCCTGACCTTATACATCATTGGGCATAATCGCTACGGGCTTATTAATTATTATCATTAATGCCTTGTGCACACACACAGAGGTGCCCTTCTCCCCAATTGACTCATCACAACAAAGGCTGCACCTGTGGGGTGGTGGCCAAAGGCCTGGCATTCTGGGTTTGGCGGTGAATTCAGGGCCAAACTGTCAAAGGGTTGGGTCATCCTTCATGCTACGCTTGTCTGCAATGCACAGTGTCTGACCTGGTGGCAGGTTTGAGGATGCTCAGCCCTCTGTCCAGAGTCCCCACGCAGGGGCAGATAGATGGCCTCTAAGGCCTCCAGTGCAGGAGTCAAGATTTTCCAAGGAGTCCTGCCTTTGCAGCCCAGACACGATTTGCTGCACACAAGCAGCCCAGAGTCAGGGTGGAGGACAGTGAAGACACTTCAGCCACTTATATCCAGGAACATGGGTATTTGAAAAATTAAAGCTGAGAGCGCGCTAGGGATTTTCTGGTACAAACCCCTATTTTTCTAGATAAGGAGACTAAATCTAGAGAAGGCTCCGAACCAGCTCGAGGTCGCCAAACCAATTAGCGATGTGGAGAAGCCAAAATGACTTTTTTCCCCTCCTTCATGAATGCTTAACTAGTATTTAAGAGATCCCAGAAGTATTCACTACTCTGAAAGTTTCAAGGCAATAATTACATTTGTTGAGTACTTACCATGGGCTAGGTGCTCTTTTCTTTGGCTCCTGTTTTTATTTTTGTTTTCTTGAATTTTGTTTTTCTAAAATGCCTTATGAATGTTTATTTAGTTGTTGCTTTTAAATGCATACAGTTGCCAGGCACTATTTTAAACACTTCCCATTTTTTAACTCGTTTTGTTGTTGTTGTTGTTAGGTGCTGTCGAGTTCTGACTCATAGTGACCCTGTGTACGACAGAACTAAACACTGCCTGGTCCTATGCTATTCTCACAATCGCTGTTATGCTTGAGCGCATTGCTGCAGTCACAGTGTCAATCCATCTCGTTGTTAATTCATTTAATCCTCCTGATCATTAAAACTCTGTAAGTTCGTACTATTCTCATCTCATAGCTGAAGAAACTGAGGCACAGATTGATAAGTAACTTGCCCAAGATCATGCACCCTCTTTCAGAGTTCGCATGCATAGAATTGAACACAGGCACTCTGGCTGCAAAGTCTGCACACTTAATCACAAACTTATATTGTCAGAAAAACATTCTCTATTAATTAATTAAAAATTTTGTCTATTTATTTATTCATTTTCTTCTGTATGTCAGGAACTGGTTTAGATGTTTGGAAAACAGTGGAAAACAAGATACACAAGATCTCTGCCCTCATGAATATATGTTTATTTTATTAAAGTAAATAAAATTTTAAAAAAAAATCTGGTGCTGTTGAGTTGATTAGGACTCATAGCAACCTTATAGGACAGAGTAGAACTACCCCCTAGGGTTTCCAAGGAGCAGCTGGTGGATTCAAACTGCTGACCTTTTGGTTAGCAGCTGAAGCTCTTAAGCACTGCACCACCAAGCCTCCAAATAAAACAAAGTGATGTGATAACAACTGGGAGAGAATTTCTTTAGACAGAGGACTAGAAATTTGTTGAAGAGTTGGTAAGAAGGAACTAATCATAGAAAGAGCCAGGGAAAGAGTCTTCCAGGATGAAGAAGCAGAAAATCCAAAGATCCTGAGGTGATAATGAGCTTGGCGTGAATGAAGACCAAGAACAGATAGAAAGATTAATGGACTGGTGGGTGAATAAATGGATGCGTGAGTGGATGGTTAATAGACATGAATAGGGCATCAACTTGATGTCTCAGAACATCATCTTTTTCTTGTTCCTCATCATCTTTACTGGCCTATAAGGCAAAAACCATAGGCAGTTATCTAAATATTTATAGCCAAAAGAAACCACTTTCAGTAAAGATGGGTGTAGCTGTATATTAGTTAATAATTATCTGTGTTTAGAGTGTGGATGTAGCTCAAATATTCATATCTCCAAGGCAATGGTCTAGGCACCAGCACAACCTCACAGCTTGCACCATCCATACTTTGAAAGAAAACACATTTTCAGCACTTTACGTCAACATGACAAGTTTCAGAATGGGAGAGACAATAATACAGTGAGTGAAGATATCTATGAGCTGTGGGCCCAGGGAGATACTGCACATCAGTATTGAGTGTGGTGCTCTGGGAAATTATGATGAGGAATGTGTTGAACAAAGGAATGACTTAATGAGAAGACTCATTAGTGTTCTTAATTAAGAGATTTCTAAGGAGTGAAAGAGGTAAATGTTTTCCTTATGTTTCTCTTAGAGGTTCCTATATTCGTCTAGATTTCCCAAGGGTGTATAAAATTCTTGAAATCGGCTTGGGGATTCATATCACATCACCTGCTCAGAATCCAGTTTGGCAATTTTATGTTTCAAGGAGCCAAAATATGTTTCTTCCCACTCCACTCTTCCAATGAGACTTCCTTTATAACATCTGTCAAACTAGGAGTAGATGATGACTAGTGGTGGGGGTCTATAAGACAGTAGATTACAGCTTATGTAATTTA